TAAGCTTGAGGTGAGTCTAGCGTGACAGTCGAAGATAAAATTACTACTAAAGTGTCTTATAAAATGAAAAATAATACTACGACACATCTTTCATGACAAATATTTCAAAGACTATATCGTAGACTCTCTCCAAATCTTGCAATATCAATTTAGTACTCTTCAAGATGTGCACGATTAGTTTTGTTTGAAATAATACTACATATAAACCTGCCTCTGACGAAAATTAAAATAATAAGGAAAGTATGAAGTTAGCGTTGTATCTTGCTTATTAGCCATCATTGGTACGGTATACATCTAGTCGTTTGAGACAGACAGACAGTGGTGTCCCGCACAACAACGTATGCATTTCTAGTCTAGGTCTTATCTGGACCTTGTACAGACTCAAGAGTTATGTGGAGAAAAGTAGTTCTTAGCCCTAAACAAATAGCTTAGGTCTTTGGTAGAATTCGGCCATCCATCCAATCCGCATGAGCACTACGGCGCTTCTTGTTAGTCTAAGTACAGTGCTGTGTTTTGGAAGTATTAAACTCTACCATATCGTTACGTCCCCAAGCAGTTATAAGCTTCAGGTCACTCGTCAGTCCTTCACAAGAGCCCATGTATACGTTATCAGAATATTTGAATAATTATCTGGTTAACTTTGCAATATAGTAACTTGGTAATACAAAATTTTAAGGAAATTCTGTAAATTATATATAAAAATGTAAATTAAAACTGTTAAGAGAAGGCAGGAAAATGGTTGAAATGTCTAATGCTTAGAAATACTGATTACTAATTAGAGGAGTTAAGCACAAAAGACTGCGAACGTGAAGCTATATTGAAATCTGCATTTGCCCAAAATTTAGCACAAAATTCCATATGTCCGGAATTGAAAACGCTCAATTGACGGTTCGACAATTTATTCATGAAACCTGTGAGCAATAAATAACGAGGGTTTTTACAGATTTTGTTGACGCTAATGCCCCTTTTATTTTTGCACGAATATATTGCAAATGTCCATCAGCACATACAAATCGCACTGATTAAAAATATTTTAATTCGGCTTTCTGTCATTATTAGCGACAGTAGATAGTATTTAATCTCTCGTCAAGCTTTTTACGGACTGTGAAAGCGAGGTGAATCATATGTCAACGAATTATAAATGGAAGGAATTTATTCCATTCTAGCTATACAGTGCCTTTCCGACTACTTATTTTTTGGACAGGTCAAGTTAGCAATATAAAATTCCATGATGTTCCACGAAAAGTTGATATTAGACAGTATGAACATTTGGGATTTTAGTATGATCATGGGTGCGATTCAGCTAAAATGTTTTCAAAATGGTTGTGCCTGAGGTATATACCAAGTTGCCTATTTTACTTGGAACGCCCTGTACGTTGTTCAATTTTTAGATTTTACCCCAGCTTTCAAATCCTGAAAGTTGAAACTTCACATATACTAAAGCCTTAAGATAACGGTACCCGTATTACGTAACTTGGAAAGTGACTTGTTAAATATCGTCCAGTGGAGGCAAAAAGGCTCTATTACGAAAAATTGCTCTAACTTCATTTTCTGAAGATTCAGAGGATCCTGATCATTTTTGAGGTTAAAAGACTTGGGGATGAGGGTTTTAAGGGTGTGGGGAGGGTTTGTTTCAATTTTTTGATGCTGGCACATCTAGACTTTTGGTAATTTTACACATGTATTAGACATATTTCACACATTTTAGATTTCTCTGTACATTAGCCCGAAAGAATATACTCGGGAGACGGATCGCGTACCTACCGGCCACGCCCACTGCTCCCGGCGGCGTGCCGTCACAGCATAGTGTTCCCTATACTCTGACCGCGTTGACACGTCTGCCCGAGGTGCAATACCGAAAAAACAGGCAAATAATATCTATGGACTAATCGTATGGACTGACTTTTTTCTCTGAGGGTCTAGTTTGTGCTGAACATATTCCTTTATGTACTGATAAGGGCGTTGCGCTTTATGACATCATGTAGGTTTTTATTTGACATTATGTAGGTTTTCCCATAGAATGTATTGTTTGAACTAGCTGGTATTCACTTGGTGCTCAGAGTGAACTAGCGACACACTAGCGGCTACAGAACTTGACATTTTACAGATTTTTTTCGACATTACATATTTTTTTTACGTAATAACCCTGCCGATCTACTAAGTTCCGAAACCCTGTGAGCCCAAACTTGTCCTCCTCCCCTCCTTCTGGTTTATAACGTAGTTATCCATATTATGTTAGATAACTATGTGCGTCTTCAAGACCCTATTGATACTCCGCGAGTGTATTCAGAGCGTCGTCATCGATGTAAGCGTAGGTTTGTTTATATCATGCAAAAACCGTCTGAGTGGACACAAGGGAACACCTGGACAACCCCAAATGTTTCAAATTCAGGAAGAAGTAAACAAAGTCGTGTTTCTGGATCGAACGCCAGGCATTATTTACTAACAAAACTTGTGACCTAGCAGCACTTAATTTTCCTATCCAAATGAATAGTGAGTATTTTTCTTCAATTTATTTTTTACGTTTTACAGCATATTATTAGCTGTGTTACTTCAAACATAGTGGTTTCTGAAAAGGAATGTCTCAACTTTCAGGAAACTCTGTATATTTTATGTACATCAACCTATCCTTAAACCTAACAGTTTTTGAGATATCTCAAAATTTACGTAAAAATCTGACAATAGAAATCTTCATTATGTTATTCTATGGACATAAATGCTGCCCCTCTGAGTTCCATCTCGATGCGTGGCCTACCAGATGGACGTACCAGACTTCTGTTTTTAATCTATCTAGGTGGATATACACGATTGGCTGGTACTAACACTTTTTTGTTTCAGGACTTTGAGAATGTGATAAAGTCTAGTATAAGACAACTTCTTGAAACTGTCTGGAGTTACGTAAACACCATCGAATTCGAATAGATGAGAGGGAGCCAAACCTATATCTTTACATTGCATCGTTTGTCGCCAAAAGGTAGTTTTAGAGAATACTTTTGACTCATTTGACTCCCAACGCCTAACAAAGTGACAACGTTGTATTCATATAATAATAGTACTTGGCAGTGGAATGATCTGCCTTTATTAGGCTTGTGCGGCTATTTGTAAATCATGCAAGAAATATCATGTCCTCATATCAACTAACACAACAACTATCTGCAAACACTCGCACTTTAAAAAAATTACACTAATATTACGAATCTAATGACAAAACTGGAAAAAATTAACTTATGCCAAGTCCGCTTGTAGTATGCACTTTCCTCGTGACTACAGACTGAGGTTTTGGAGACAAACAAATCGTTGGCTTGTTTTTTCTACCTAGTCTGACTTGGTAAATACCAAGTTGCTCATAAGAAGTATCTCTGTCCTTCCTGCAATATTCTAAGCTTTTATTTATGTATAATAAGGTCCCGGAGGATTTCCGGAATTATTTATCGAGTAATATGGTAAGCGAGAGAAGCGGCTAGGCGGGGAACTTTTTCACTGCCGCTATTATTGAACACTGGGGAGCAGCGGGCCGAAAAATTGCTCTACTCACTCATGCTCGTTTTGCATCTGAATAAGAGCAAATGAGATTGCCATTGTTGCCTAGAAAGTCTCTAGTGCATATCCGCACTAGTTCCAAGAGCGGATATCAGAAAACTGTCTAGGGGGCAGTGGTGGTGGCAGCATTAATATCTCGACAAGTTACATCCATATCACTCCATATATTTTTTTATATCGCAGCATCCGCGTAGGCACCACGGCTACGATGAGGAGCTCAAACAAACTTGATCGATTCTATTTTTGAATTGCCTAACTTTATTAGAACTGAGAAAAGCCTCCTCAGGTAGATTGTTCCACATTCTCAATCCCCTAGGGACAAAGGAGCGGTAGTATGGGCCAGTTCAGGATTTACAAGGTACGCCACGATTAGAATGGGAAGCCGAAGTCACGCGGATCTGTCTGGAAAGCATATCACGTGGCGGCATAATGGAGAGCTCTGAGGAGCAAAATTCCTTGACAAGAGTTAGTTCGCCGACGGCTCTTAGGTGCGCAAGGGTCCCGACATTGACGTTATAAAAGAGTCATCTAGCATACGTACAGCCCCGTGAATCATGGATAATGTAGTCGGGATGGCAGCTCCCCAAACGAGTGTTCAGTACTCGAGGCTACGTCGTATCTTGTCGGAGTCGTCACATATTGCATGTACCGAACGCACCTCGCATATTTAGATTCCCCTTGCTGTTAATTTTACGTGTCATTGTCATTTCACATTTCACCTTTCATCGATTCATTTGTCACACCTACATATACAACAAAAACAACATGGTGCTCTTAAGATGTCGATGAACTATGCCTTGCATTTCGAGCCATGAACAATGCAGATGCGGCATCAGTAGTAGAAGATTGGATAATAGTCAACCAGTGTGTTGCGACAACAGTTTTGGGTGGTTTTAGAGGTCGTTTGACATTTTCGAGGTTGATTTCCGGGGCTAAATTAAACCGATTTCGGAAGGCAATCTGGGTTGCGATTACAGAACATCCGCACGAAAATTGGTCCTTTTCATTACTCCAATGCAAGATGGCGACCGAACTGTGTCGGGACAAAACTTCACATTCCCGCCTCTTGAATAAGACCCTAGCGCTCCGCTACGACATCAACCGACTGCCGCATCGTGTAGTAGCGGCAAAAAATAAATGCACTCCTGAATATTGCTCGTTAAAATTATCTATACTTTGGGAAAAGCCACCGCGTTGGCATAAACGGCAGTAAAGCGTAATTTCTACAATGTGGCATCATTTAGCGGAGTTCTTTACATATTATCTATCGAACCAAAAATTGGCCGAAATGAAATGAGACACCGTAGCGCCATCTATGTGAGTTTGTCGCAGCTGTTATTTTCTAAATAGCTAGAAATCTGCCTTAAAACGGTTACTGTCTGATAGATAACGCTGTAGCCAACGATACTAGCATGTAAAATGTATCTCGGTTTTTAGTTTTTTGCCCCAGCCACAGCGGGAATGGTTTTTAGAAAATACAATGCTTTTTCATCGTTGGCCTAATAACCTTGTGTGATAATTCCATCAAAATACGGAACGTACTTATTGACGGACCAAAGATTATGGGACAGACAGATAGACGAACAGGCATACCGACGCATATAAGTGGCACGATTTTTGATCTAGATGAAAGACAAGCTTCAAAAGTTCCATTTTCCAGTATTAATAGAGCTTCAGGATCGTTCAGCATTTTTTGATGGCCACGTCAGATTTTCCAATTTTACTGGATTTTAAAAAATCCATATCCGGGACCTCGGTTGGCCGCGTGGGTCAGAGTGTCGTGCTACTGATCAGCCGGCCGGCCGGGCCGCGAGTTCGAATCTCGCCTTCGCCATGGATGTTGTGTGTTTGTTTTAGACAGCAGCGGTGGCCGCAGCAGTAGACTCTTCGGTCTCCTGATCAGTCCCCGTGCGCTGTGCGGGTTCGAGTCCCGTCCCAGAAGAAATTTTTCTCTTGGCTATGGATGTTGTGATTGTCCGTAGGTTGTAGATGGTCTCTGACTGTCGAACGCGGAGGTACCACCCGGCGGTTCTCGTAGGCGGAGCCAGAATGTGTGCATGTTGCATGCACACGTGTTCCCTCGCCAGAGTCCGTGTGGCGTCCCCCCTTTCCCATGTATCCCCCTATAGCCCCACGGTACCCAATGGGTGCTTAGGCCTTAGGCCTTCGTGGTAGTTGGAGTATAAAAAAAATCTACATACTGGGAATAATTCCGCATCGTATTGATTTGATCGAAAACTTCAAATTACACCACAGATAACATCCCAATAATTGCAGTTTGAATTTTTGGTAAACATTCACACAGATAAGCGCACATGCGAGTTCTAATTGTATGGAGCGGAAAGGAAACCAAATCTGCCGCAAATATGTACGAATGAGTATTTTCGATTCAAACTTAAACAGATGCATAATGTTTTCATCCAATGCAGTACATTTTGAGTGATGCGTGAGTTCATTTAGAATCAGAGAAAACTTATTATACATGGTATTCGAGGGCACATTTATGAAATACTCACAATTATACAGGGTGTCCCAATTTTGTCCCACAACAAAAAAATGTTTTTAAGTGAAAGGCCGTACTTTTTATTAGACACTTGAATAGGCCCTTTTAAAAGATGAAGATTGATATAACCTACTAATGGGTCTTGATTATTAGTTACTGGGCTATTGGGTATTTTATATAAAAAAAAACAAAGACACAATATTAAAAGCTCAAAAACACAATTAGCACGACGATATACAGTCACGGGTCAAGCTAGGTATAGTAAGCAACAAACATAGAGTTACCAAACTTTAGTCTCTGTTTGGTTATCCACCTTGTGTCATCAACAGCGTAAAATACATCTTAATGTCGGGTACGAACATTTTGTAGACATATATGTCTATCTCTATTTATTATCGATACACTCGCGTATAACTGCAGCGATCTATAGCTCAAAAAGTAGACTTAACACAACTATGAAAACTTCAGCCAACAGATTTTCAAAATAGCGGCACTTCCGGTTGTCTTATATTAACTAGAACTCTCTGTATATTGTTCAAGGTTAGGACTGTACGCCAGGTTCTAAATACATTTCATATATATTATTCTATACTACTAAGTTTAACCGTTATTGAGAAAGCTCAAATTTTGAGTTGAAAATGTCAAATGAAGGCCAATGAATTACACCAATCCGCTATGATAAAATTAATACTTGAATACTATATTTATGTTCCCTTTATATAGAATGTATATGTATATAATAAGGCCCTTATACATGAATCTCATAACCTCAAATTTCACCTTGGTAATTTGGCCCATTCCAAAAAATGGGTAGAGATCATCCTTTGTGAAAAGCACTGTATAGTACTTACCAAATCACCCCTGTGTACTTTTGTGTGGCTCCACAAAATCCATTACAACTTTCCTTCGTCGGCAAAAACGAACTTTCTAGAGATATAGAGGGAATGGAATCGATAAGAAGATTACTAAGTTGCCATGAGTGTTTTAACGTAGAGGTAAAGTGAGCAGAAAGATCGGATTTCTCTATTTCTCCATCAACAACCATAATATAGTTCAGGAATGTGTATTTCTTTCCACACCACACTGGCGAGGAAGTATTGTAATCAAAAAAAAATCGAAAATGAGATATTATGTCCTTTGCATGTTATATGGTAAGTACATCACGAAAAACCATAGGTATCAATTATTTGCATCTGTGTGTCTGTCGGTCTGTCCGCTGATACATAGACCGCCTATAACTAGCCTAGCCAAGGACGAAACATCTTTGTAGTTATTGAAAATCGGTTGAGTGGCTGCGGCCTAACAGGCAAAAAACAAAAAAGTTAACGTCGCTCAAATTTCATTCCTCGGGATTCAAAGGATCCTGGGAGTTTTGGAAAAAACATTTTTGCTTAGACAGCAGACCGATAAACCCCAACTAGGTTTAAACCCTTGTTTTCTCAATTGTGCATGCTCAGTCGGTTTCAAACCGTTGGGAATATGATGCTAGAACATTGCTATTGCTTATGGCGGCTTAGTTAGTATCACTTTCTTTAGACAGTATTATCTGTAGTGTATAAATAATCTGTGCTTTACTAATAAATAGATAGTCCAGTTTCGATATAATTTAAAATCATACTGCCTGAAGTTCGTAACTTACAACTTCATCAGCTGAAGATATATTTCCGCTGGTTACAAAGCCAATTTCCCCGTCTTGTGTGTTCGAAAAGCAATTTCTGCGGAAATCTCTAAATGCGCTCGAATGTTGCTTGTGCCTTCAGAGGAAAACTTAAATAATATATCACTGTCGATTGATCTGTCAGCATAGAAGGGCTGTTAAAAAGTATTAGGGTTGTAATCGAAATCAATCTTTGGAAACAAGCAGAAGGATGTAGGCGATTATTTACTGCTTGGCTGAGAAAAATTAGAATATGATGAGGCCAAGCTTTCTAGATAGAAAACGCAAATGAATATTTGTTATCAGCAATTTCGCTTTTACTGAAAGATGTGACACAGGTACCTTTTGACTGCAATTTACAAGAAAACAACCAATCATTATACTTAAGACCAATGACTGTTGATGAAGTGTGTGAACTGTCGAGGAGGATAAAAAATAAATTTAGCTGTGGTATAGATGATGTTCCAACAACAATAGTAAAACTTTCCATTCCAGTTTTAAAACATGTTTTGTGCTTACTTATTAATAATGCTTTTAGAAAAGGATCATTCCAAGTGAATTTGAAAAAAGCTGTTATAAAACCAATTTTTAATCCAGAGTAATTGGAAAATTATAGGCCAATCAGTATTTTAACAGGTTTTTCAAAAGTATTTGAGTTAGGCATCAGTAATAGATTATTAGAATTCATGAATGACTGTAATTTATTTAATACACATCAGCATGGTTACCTACATGAGCGATCAACAGATACTGCAATCTTTCAATTTGTTCAAACAGTACTTAAGCAATTAGAGGAGGGAAACTTAGCGGTTGGTTTCTACCTGGACTTGTCCAAAGCTTATGATTGCATCAACAGAGACATATTGTTATTAAAGCTACAAAGATATGGTGTAAGAGGAACTGCGCTAGAATTGTTCAAGTCATACATCTATAATAGACAACAGAGGGTTGAAATTATTAAAGGAGGTCAAACTTACAAGTCAAACATTGAGTTGACTTCAACCGGCATAGCACAGTGTAGTATACTTGGGCCCATTTTGTTTGTAGTTTTTTTAAACGATCTCTGTTTTGTTACTAGTGGTGATCATAGCAAGGATAAAATTATCTGCTATGCTGATGAAACAAATTTAGTGTTGGGTGGGACAAGTGTAGAGGACCTAACTGCTAATGGGAATCTCTTATTCAGAAGTGTGAATACATGGTTTTCTGAGAACAAACTAGTGCTGAATAAATCCAAAACTGATGCAACATTATTTATAACTAAGCAGAGTAAAGTCGTTAAGCCACAATATATCGATATAGATGATCATCAACTGCAGTTGAGTGAAAGTGTAAAATTCTTAGGCATCTATATTGATGAATTTTTAGATTGGACAACACCAGTATTCGAACTGCTGAAGAGGCTCAATTCCATTTGCTATGGTTTTAGGGTGATATAAAGATATCTAAATAATACGAGTATGAAAATATTGTACCATGCTAATTTTCAAAATGTTCTAAAGTATGGGATTAGTTTTTGGGGACGCAATAGGTTTATTCAACAAATTTTTGTTGTTCAAAAAAGAGCAGTACGTCTGCTAAAGGGACTAAATTTCAATGAAACTTGCAGGGGGGTGTTTAAAATTGAAAAAATCACGACTGTGTATGCCATCTATGTGTATGAGTGTCTTATATTTTTTTTCAAAAATAAAAATTTATTTGAGCTTGAGGTGCAAACTGTTTATGATACTCGAACAGTCCATGTTACTGATCCAATACACAGATTATCCTCCACAGAAAAAAGCCCTATTTACATGTGTTTAAAATTTTTTAACAATATACCAAATGAAATTAAAAACATAAACAGTTTACATAAATTTAAAAAGACTATTAAGCAATTTCTAGTACAGTCAAAGCCTTATACAATAGATGAGTTCTATGGGAGTTGTAATAGTATAAGATAGTATCTGTTTTAAGATAAATAACCATGTAACACAAAAAAAAGGTCTCAGGTTAACTACTATAGTTATGGTGACAGTGACGCAACATTTCATTTTGTAGTGGCTATACAAATTTTGTAATGTCATTGTACAATTTGGAATATAGATTATTATTATTATTATTATTATTGAGAATCGTCATGTTTTATTCAATCTTACTTGCTGGTCCAGATATACTGATTCAGAGACTCCTAATTCGATTGTTAATCTAGTGATAGGGGGATTGACTTGGAGGCTGATGTTGCTAATAGACAAACGATATAATTAATACGCTTACCAAGGATTAAGCTTGCGCAGACAGTATACCCAATGGTTCCTTGTTAACTAAAATTAACATCCGGTAAATTAGCAAGGATAAACAACGGTTTAGATTAGAGCACCAAATTCGGTGATCCTAGTTGCTAATGTACTTGGCAGGGTCTCATCCATCGAAAAGTTATTTTAACATGGTAATATCATAGGTTCATTGTTTATACAGAGCGAGACTTGGAAATGACTAGGTCCTAAAGCACGTTTCTAATGCATCCAATCTTTTTGCAGATGGTGGACCACTCCTATTTTGTGACCACCTTCTTTGGATGACCTTTAGCCTTGGGTCAACCATCTTGGATTGCCGTTGGCCTTTGACCATCTTGAACTTCTCCTTTTGAGACCTCCCTTTTGGATATCTACTAGCTACAAATATGTTATAATTTTTTCCTTAGTGTATAATACAATCTATTTACCTAAGATTATTCTTTTTAATGTATATACATAGTTTGTAGGTCTGTTCTGCTTCTGCTTTTCTGTTCTATCGCCACGCCATTGTCTTTGAGCCTCATGCCTCCATCTGAGCTACCGGAAGCCTCTT